TTGGTACAAGACTTTTGCTGCATGGGTCAAATGCTCGTTTTGTTCTAGGAAAGACGGTCCTGAAGATATACCCACCTGACCCGCTGATTCTCCTCACACAAGACCGGTCTTTTGGGCTCCTGCCCCCCCCCCCACTGCAGGCCAAGGGTCTTGTAAATGGGCTGTTCCTGACATTAGCACGCTCAATGCATGCTCCACAGACAGGAACAGTCCACTGGTGGATCGTGGGGGAGAGTGGTTTTTCCGTGGGGTCAGCTGGTCAGGTGAGTATGAGTTTTGTCCTCACCCCTAGAAGAAACGAGCAGCCAATCCATGCAGTGGAGGTACAGCCCCACTGCATGGTAAAAAAAAATACTAACTGGAGTTCTGCTTTAAGCCTAGGTTTACAGTTTAACCCCTTGGCGCCGGCGCCTCCTGGCCCTTTAAGGGTTCCAGAAGCCGGGAGGCGGGGCGGGGTTTTAAGGTCACATGATCGGGAAAGGTCCCGATTGAAAGAGGAGATCGGGGCCTTTCCGTGAGTAACGGACATGTGTGCTGGGAGCGCTCTCAGCACATATGTTTTCATTAATTGCACGCAAATGTGCGGCCGCTCGGTGTCAAGGCCCAGATGCCGGGAGGCCACACATTTGCGTGCGGCCAGCGTGAAGAGGTTAAAGAGTACTTATGAAGCCTGTGCCAGGCATTCAAACTCTAAGGCCTATGTAGCACCCTCCTAGTTTAGCTAGGGGGAACTAGACTCCAATGGTTAGACAGGGGCTGAGCAGCAGCCTAGGAGCAATAGGCTCAAATTGTGGTCAGGGTTGAGAGGCTCTGCAGGCCAGCCCTCCCCTGGAATTTTCCCCTGCTCTAGGGCTTTTGGAGGAAGGATCTAGAGGCAGTGGGTGGATCTGAGGAGTGGCTGGTTGCACTCTTGAGGGATCTTATCCAATCCCCAACAAGAGGTTGGCAAGGGGCTCGGCACCCTTAAAAGTGTTGAAGCCTGTTCAATGGTAGGAGAGTGGGAGGTAGAGTTTGGGTGGAAAATGTGAGGCTGGAGGAAGTAGGCTGCAAGGAGGCCCAGTCGGATAGAGCTGGAAAGGAGGAAAGCTCAGTGCTTAACATCCCCCTGAGAGATGACCGCCTGTATGGCAGCTGATAGGCCTGGTAGCAGCCAACAATCCACAAGCAGTACACCTACACCCCCTGGGCGGATATTAGGGGAAGGGGCACTCTGGTTGAAAACCAGATTAGCCACCTTCCAGTGACTGTCTATTTCTGAAAAGTGAGAGGAACCGGATCCCCTGTTCAGGGATACCTCCAGATTGCTGGGTGAAGGGGGGTGTTCATCTAGGGTTTGGGGGTGGTACACTAAGGAGATGCTGGTTAGCCCTCCAACTGAGACTGTGCTTCAGAGAAATGACTAAAACAACAAAACCAAAGGTTGAAGACTGATTTCTGAATCTGGATGCAAGCCTGTGTTAGGCCCCTTTTAGGCAAAACCCTCCTACATCAGAGGTATCACCCATATTTAAGTCAGGTGAGGAGGAGAACAGACACACTTGGGGCGTGGGAGCTAAACACCACACACCAATGTAGATATAACTACCACATGTAGGCCCTAGACTGGGCAGGAGACTGGGACGAGGTGGCCTGTACACAGGAGGAGTTGGCCCTTATGGAGGTGGGGGCTAGGACAGATTACAAAAGACCTTTTAGGCCAGGCTTGTGAGCCCTATGTGAGGTTGCTTCCCTGGAGAGATCCTGGGAAAGGTGTACTTAGCAAGGAAATGTCTATATAGAGAGCAAAGTCCTGTGGGTACTAATGACCCTGGCAAAGGAGAAACTGAAAGGGAGATGGCTGCTCAAGTGGTGCATGTGCTTTCACATGTGACAACTGCGGACCGTTCACTAAATGTGGTGGACTGTGCAGGGGAGGACTGACCATTTGGAAACTCGGGCACTGCTCGAGGGCCCATGGTCAGTAGGGGGGCACCATGAGATGCCCCTGGTACCTTTTTTTCATAGGCTTTTTTGAGTATGGGCAAGGACACAGGGGCCCCATGATCCCATATTGCCCGAGGGCCCCATGAGTTGTCAGTCCGCCCCTGGGACTGTGTAATGTCAAGTGACTCCAGAACGAATGTCCTTGTGATGTGACTGTTTGCCATTTTCTGAATACAACCGGGAAAGCGTAGTGAAACTACTTTCACATCCCATTTCTTAGGGATATAAAGGACCAGGGGCGTCCCTAGGGTTGGTGTCACCCGGTGCCAGAAAACTTGGTGGCACCCCCTCCGATCTCCGCAGAATGGATCAGATCTGCGGATTGAGCATAATGGATCGGACTCCAATCCATTATGCTCCCCAATCCGCAGATCTGATCCATCCTGTGGGGGTCGTCGGCATGCAACCTATACGGGGTGACACCGGACCGGCTCCACGGAAAGGTAAGTTGTAAAGAAAGCTGACGATATATTTAGCACATTTTAATGGAAAGGTCAGTTGGGTTTTTAAATCTCTGGATCAGACAGACAGTTGTTGAGAAATGGCTCCAATGCTTAGTACAGAACATGACATCCTAGGAAAGCTGCAGTTCACCTTTAACCAGGGGCGGACTGACAACTCATAGGGCCCCTGGGCAATAGGGGATCATGGGGCCCCTGTGTCCTTGCCCACACACATAAAAAAGGTACCAGGGGCATTTCATAGGTCCCCCTACTGACCTCGGGCCCTCGGGCAGTGCCCGAGTGCTCGAATGGTCAGTCCGCCCCTGCCTTTAATCCCTCGCCCTCCAGAGGATTCCCCCCCCCCCCCCCTTTCCTGACCAGGCCATTTTTTGCGTTACAGCGCTGCATTACTTTAACTGATGGTCAGTCAACGCCGCACCCAGATGAAATTTAGATCCTTTCTTCCCCACAAATCGAGCTTTCTTTTGGTGGTATTTGATCACCTGTGGGTTTTCTATTTTTTGAAAGACAGACAATTTTGTTAAAAAAAACAATATTTTGGACTTTTTGCTATTAAACATGTAAATAAATCAAATTCAAATCGTAAATTTAGGCCAAAATGTATTCTGCTCCGTGTCGTTGCTAAACAACATGTGTAAAATACTTGGTTTACATGAAAGTTATAGCCTCTACAAATGGCAGTATAGATACTGGGATTTTTTTTTCTACTAATAATGGCGGCGATCAGCGACTTTTAGTGGGATTGTGACAGGTTTTCTGACACTGGGTAGACTAACTCGGTGTCACTGACATCCCCAGTGACACCAATACAGTGATAAGTGCTAAAAAACAGCACTGACACTATATTAATGGCACTGGGCAGGGAGGGGTTAATGTGAAAGGGCGATCAAAGGGTTAACTCTGTGCTTGGAGTGTTTTTACTAGGGGGCGGGGGAGTGTGTTCTTCACTGTAATCACACTGATCAGGATGGCTGTGCTGTGCAGTGTGTCCGAGTTGACAGGGAGGAAGAGTACAAATGCTGGTACTGATACTGGGATTTTTTTCCTAGTAGTAATGGTGACGATCAGCGACTTTTAGCGGGACTGCAGCAGGCAGTCTGACACTGGGGGGAACTAATTTGGTGTCGCTGACATCCCCAATGACACCAATACAGAGATCAGTGCTAAAAAACAGCACTGACACTGTACTAATGGCACAGGGCAGGGAGGGGTTAATGTGAAAGGGCGATCAAAGGGTTAACTGTGTGTGCTTGGAGTGTTTTACTAGGGGGCAGGGGAGTGTGTTCTTCACTGTAATCACACTGATCTGGATGGCTGTGCTGTGCAGTGTGTCCAGAGTTGACAGGGAGGAAAACTGTTTGTAAACAAAACAGTCTTCCTCCCTGTTGGTGATTGTCGGTAATCACCGGGCTCCAGCGGGTAATCACCTGCCGGGACCCGGTGATTGACATCTGTAGCCGCGATTGGCGGTGCGGGTAGGGTCGCGTGCGCCGCCTACCCAGTGGTGCATTTAGGTTTTGTGCAGGGGCGGACTGACAACTCATGGGGCCCCCGGGCAATAGGGGATCATGGGGCCCCTGTGTCCTTGCCCAAACTCAAAAAAGACTATGAAAAAGGTACCAGGGGCATCTCATGGGCCCCCCTAATGACCCCGGGCCCTTGGGCAGTGCCCGAGTTTCCAAATCATCAGTCCGCCACTGGTTTTGTGCTGCCCTAGGCAAGACAAAAATCAGACCCCCCCCACCTCACACTGACCAACACCGGACCCCCCAAACCACGGGGAGTGTCTGACAGTGATCAACAACACCCCTGCCCCATCCTCCCACCTGGGAGAGCCTTCCACTAACATTTACCACCCACCCATGGTGGCAGAGAGAGACACTAACCTTCACATATCTGGACATCCCTGGAAACGAAAGTTGGGCTTTGCCTACACCAGTGGTCGGCAAGCCGCGGCTCGCGACCCACTTGCGGCTCTTTACAAACTTAAATGCGGCTCTTCTGTGTGCCGGGCGTCTGCTCCCCTCCCTCCTCTCGGGCGGCCGCCCCCTCCCCTCCCTCCCCTGCCTCCTCTCGGGCGGCCGCCCCCCTCCCTCTTCTCGGGCGGCCGCCCCAAAAGTCAAGACTCTGCAGCTGTCAGGATGTAGGCGGGGCAGCGTGACGAACTCCTCTCCTCTCACAGTCCGCCCTGAAGACCAGAACGGCGCGGGAACACGGCGAGAGGAACGCGCGGAGCAAAGGTAAGTGAATTGACACAGGGGGGACTTACTATATGGGGGATGAATTACTATGGGGGATGAATTACTATGGGGGATGAATTACTATATGGGGGATGAATTACTATGGGGGATGAATTACTATATGGGGGGTGAATTACTATATGGGGGACTTACTGTATGGGGGATGAATTACTATGGGGGATGAATTACTATATGGGGGGTGAATTACTATATGGGGGACTTACTATATGGGGGATGAATTACTATGGGGATGAATTACTATATGGGGGATGAATTACTATATGGGGGATGAATTACTATGGGGGATGAATTACTATATGGGGGATGAATTACTATGGGGGATGAATTACTATATGGGGGATGAATTACTATATGGGGGATGAATTACTATGGGGGATGAATTACTATATGGGGGATGAATTACTATGGGGGATGAATTACTATATGGGGGATGAATTACTATGGGGGATGAATTACTATGGGGCATGAATTACTATATGGGGGATGAATTACTATTTGGGGGATGTATTTTCAGTTTTAAAAATGTGGCTCTCAAAATAAATTTCAATCGTGGTTTTGGCGAGATTTGGCTCAGTTGAATTAAAAGGTTGCCCACCACTGGCCTACACCATCAAGCAGCCCGCAGCCTCTCTTGGATCCCACCTGATCCCCATGCTGCATATGTCCCTTCTTCCAGGGAGCAGTGCTGCCCCCCTAAAAAATGCCACCCTAGGCAAATACCTTGTTTGCCTTGTGGTAAATACACCCCTGCCCCTACCCGGAAATGCAAAATCACATCTATATATACCTGATTTTGCGCACCCGGCGCGCCATGTAGCAGTATAGAGCTCTTCCTGCTTCGGAAATTCAGTACATTGGCAGCCACCACATATAAGGACTGGTAAGTCGCAATATATTTTGTATAAAACGTATCTTCCCTGCTTCCAGGAAAAGTGAGATGATGTTTGCTGTGAGTGAGCAGTGTATCGTGGCAATGTAATCACCATAAAATATACTCGGTTACACGTTTAACAATCTTTACATCGCAGCGTGCGTTCACACAAAGGGCTGCTGATGAAGTGAAGGTGGAACAGAGAATATTGTATGGTGATTAAGCTGCAATATTTTACAGTTTTGTTCTTGAGTTTGATTGTTTTTTTCAAAGGAATACAAACCTGCATTTAATGGTGGATTTCATGTGTACCAGAATCTTTGTTTAAAAAAAAAAAGAAATGTTATACAAGTGCGTGCGTTTAGATCAGCCTTTTATTTACGTATTTATTTCAGGTACTTATATAGCGATGTCAATTTATGCAGCACTTTACATATATATTGTACATTCACATCAGTCCCTAACCCTCAAGGGGTGTACAATCTAAGGTCCCTAACCCTCAAGGGACGTACAATCTAAGGTCCCTCACCCCAAGGGGTGTACAATCTAAGGTCCCTAACCCTCAAGGGGCGTACAATCTAAGGTCCCTAACCCTCAAGGGGTGTACAATCTAAGGTCCCTCACCCCCAAGGGGTGTACAATCTAAGGTCCCTAACCCTCATGGGGTGTACAATCTAAGGTCCCTAACCCTCAAGGGACGTACAATCTAAGGTCCCTGAAAACCCTCAAGGGGCGTACAATCTAAGGTCCCTAACCCTCAAGGGGTGTACAATCTAAAGGTCCCTAACCCTCAAGGAGCGTACAATCTAAGGTCCCTAACCCTCAAGGGGTGTACAATCTAAGGTCCCTCAAGGGGTGTACAATCTAAGGTCCCTAACTCCCAATCATACATACACATACTAGGGACAATTTAGACAGGAGCCAATTCACCTACCAGCATGTTTTTGAAGTGTGGGAGGAACCTGGAGGAAACCCATGCAGGCACAGGGAGAACATGCAATCTTCAGGCAGGTGGTGCCATGGCTGGGATTCAAACCAGCAACTTCAGCACCGCCGGGCGGTAGTGCTAACCATTTAGCCACCAAGCTGCCCATATATATTGTGGATTCACATCCGTCCCAGCCCCTGAGGAGTGTACAAATCTAAGGTCCCTAACTCACATTCATACATACAATACACATACTAAGGCCAATGTAGACAGGAGCCAATGAACCTATCAGCATGTCTTTGGAGTGTGGGAGGAAGCCGGAGTACCTAGAGGAAACCCATGCAGGCACAGGGGGAGAACTTGCAAAATCCAGGCAGGTGGTGCCATGTCTGGGATTCAAACCAGCAACTGCAGTACTGCCAGGTGGTAGTGCTAACCATTTACCCACCAAGCTGCTCATATAGGAAGAACATGCAAACTCCAGGCAGGTGGTGCCATTCCCCAAAAAGGAACTCTGTAAATAATTTTACCGATCTCAGGGAACCCCTGTGTTTTTAAAATTCCTAAATCTACAGCTCGCGATACGTTAGTGTGATGGTCAGTGTGGAAGAACGCTCCTTACACTTGTGGTCATTGGGAAGAATGCCCCTTACATTGGTGGTCATTGGGAAGAATGCTGCCTTACATTGGGGGTCAGTGGGGAAGGAATGCTCCTTACATTGGTGGTCAGTGGGAAGAATGTCCCTTACATTGGTGATCAGTGGGAAGAATGTCCTTACATTGGTGAGATACAGTGGGGAAGAATGCTCCTTACATTGGAGGTCAGTGGGAAGAATTGTCC